GCATTGTTAAAGGCAAGTGCGGAGCAGAATAACAAGTTTTCTCTCTTAAGAATGAAGGCGGGAAGGATGAACATCCATACATTCCTACATCTCTGTGAATTAGCAACGGGCAGATATACGAGAAAAATAACGACCCGGGAACAGTGCCGTCTGTCCCGTGGAGGTAGATTGTCATTATACATCACGCTGCTGTGACGCGTTTGACCTTCTGAATGTATTACTTATTCTAAAAAGTAGACGTGTTTCTACTAGAGAGCTCTCCCTCCTCAGTGTCTGCCCCCCATTCTTCGCATCCCGAAGGCACGCAGGTCCACACGCTGAAATTAACCCAGGTCAGTTGGTGACGTCAAAAGAACGTCACCCATTCGTTTATTTCCAGGAACCGATGAGTTTAACAGATACTCCAGACCCAGGCATTTCTGCAGTGAGCAGCTTTGGGAACCTAAGAGGTCAGAGGAAGCCAAAGAAATGTATTTGAAAACTGCTTCCTCAGTTTTCTGAACACAAGAAGACACACAGACCTGTTTTCTCAATACTGGACATCAAATCACTCTGTGGTGAGGGGACCCAGCCTCCTGGGAAGATTCTCTGCTTTTTCTCTTTAGATGCTACCGATAGCACTTTCTGGGATGATACACAGGCTATACCTTTGTTATACTATATAGTAGCTGCCAACAACCTGCGATGTGCTTATTGCAAGGGACTGCCTAGATTTTTACTTTGATTTAAAATGTCACGGGGGAGTGGCTACTGTACGGGACAGAGCAGCTCTTGAGTCAACCAGTTATGAACCTCCCTCCGAACTCTGTAACTTGCACGTGAGGTTGCGTAGTGGCTAGAACATACCCCAGGAGCAAACTCACAAGTCCCTGCGGCTTAGCGATCACTCCATTTTTGGGTAGAGATAGGCGTGGGCAACCAATCTGTTGCGAGTACTCACTCCGAGCACTTACTGAAGGCCTATTCTACAGGGAGCACGTGAAGAGCCAGGGTACAGATGAGCGTGATGGCGCCCAGCAGAGTGTTCACTGGCCAGTCCTGGCGTTTACCTGCAAACCCGGCGAGATGCCCTTCTGCACAGAGCCGACCCTCTCAGCGGGGGTAACAGCATCGATTTTTCTCACAACCTCCAACACGGTGTGAACAGTTTCTTTCCATGATTCAAACACCTAGTAACCACAGACCCACTAGCATATTCAAAAGGATTCTCTCATGCCCATCAGCCAGAAAAGAGGACCTTGGGACTAAGGGCTTCCTGAGTGTGATCACGTGGCACTGAGTCTAGAAAAGGAGTGTGGACCACGGGGGGGAGGGGGGGTGCTTCCTAACTCTCCTGCACACCTGGCGCAGCGGTGAGGGGCCAATTTTCATGCAGAAACTCAGATAACTACAGGCTGAGTCCAAACAGGCCCAGAGAGCTGGGTGCCAGGCTGTTATAGATGCTGGGACGTCACCGTGGGTAGGCAGACCCGGTCTCTGTATCATGGAATGATGAACAGAGGTAAATAAGAAACCTGGTAATAAAACCTCAGGCCGTGTTTTAAGAAATGTAAGCAGGATGAGATTTGGCACGAGAAGTAGGCAGGTTACTTTTTTATATTCCATGTGTTAAGTTACAAATGTAAGACCCAAGTGTCCATTTTTCTTCTTTTTTGTTCTACTTTTTTTATCAAGTATTACCTCATTGGATGAAAGGCCTAGTTTCTGTTAATAAACTGCAACGTTACCACAACACTTTCTCCAAAGTTCGCATGACTGTGGGAATCCCTCACTCTCAGCAGTCCTGGGTACTTTCAGATTTAATGGTGAGGAATGGTGTCGCTTACATGTGCGACAAACTACTATAAAGGTTAGCAGTTTGTCCTCACTTGCTACGCCCTGGTGTCCCTGAGAGAGCAGCACAGTAGGGACTTAAAGTCCAAGGGGCAAACAACCTGTAACAGTCCGGAGCTTACTTTGCACACCTGCTTTTTTTTCAGAAAGAGCCTCAACTCTAATTCGCGTATGTCGTCAAAAGACATGGTGATTTTTCTCCTTTTGCCTAAATTATTTTAACCAAACCACCAGTGGGGTCCTACCATTTGCAGCCCATAGGCAAAAACTCTGGAGACAGAGCTCAGTGGAAAGGAAAGGAATTTTATTTAACATACATACAGTATGGAATAATGGCAGGTTTGTGCCTCAAAGGCCTTTTCCTCCAAAAACAAACAGAAAAAAAACAAAACAAAACCCCTGCAAGCGGGCAGTCTAGTTGGTTTCCAGCCGCTGTCCGGTCGCCGGCATCCTGTAGAGTCCGCGTGGCAGGCGTCCCGCTCGGCCGCGGCACACCGTCCTCTCCGTCCTCTCCGTCCACGGCGGCCTCCGGGGCACCTGTGCGCCGGGCGGGGCGGGGCGCGCCTGGCACAGCTCCGGGTGGCAGCGCTGCTGCAGCTGCTGTGTGAGCGAGGGCCACGGGCAGGGCTCCTGGACCACACAGCCCCCCCCCAGGGCAACAGTACCCGGTGGCCGACCCACAGGCCAGGGCAGGGGAGGGCAAAGCCCATCTTCCATATGCTCTGCGTTTGAAGACGACCCCATTCACACCCTGCACAGCTGAGGGAGACGGGAAAGTACGGCCCACACGCTCTGCGTGTCTGCACTGGTTGCTGGGGTAACACAAGCACGCACACTCCTCCGTGCCTCTCAAGCTCCTCCCCATGTCCCGGGGGAGGGGGTCCCATTACAACCCCCCTTTAAAAATCTGGACACTTGGGCTCTTAGAAGGGGACATGGGCGAAGGTCTCATTCTTCTGTAACTGCTTCCTGCTGGGCGAGGCCGTAGCCCTACCTACACCTTGGTCCAGAGACCCTGAGTAAAGGGGGTCTGAAGCGGAGGGAAGACTTCCCACAAGGGAGGAGGATCTTGCGCCAGTCCAGGTCAGACGGTCACCCCTGGAACACGGCGTGCGTGACGTCCGAAGGGTGGCACTGCTTGGGCGAGTGGGCAGCCTTGTAGTCTGGAGGCAGCAAATTTGGCAAGAGGATTAGAAGGCACAATCAGAACCATAAATACTAAATGACAAAGGTAGGGAATAATTCTACAGTGTCCCTGGTTAAGAAAGAGTGGCTTCCTTGGAGGTAGGTGTTCGAGGAGTGGCACACTTGTTTGAGGCCCTATTGCCCACTGTACTCACATTAGGCAGAGAGGAATACCCTGAGATTCACCCCTTTAAAAATTCTGAACCCTTTCTATCAAAACTGCTACTGCAAAAAAGGAAGCCAGTTTCAAAACAAAGCCCATGGGCCACCCTATACTTCGCTAACTCACCCATCCGGTCTAATCAAACCCGAGCCTCAGGAGGTGCTGATGCAGATAAGTGAGGCATATACTGCCTCTAATTTCACAAGACTGTCTTCTGAGGAGACGTCCAGTTGTTGCTATCATCTGGTGAAACCAGTTTAAGTCCCAAGTGAAAACAAACTTTGAGAACAGCTGCACTAGAGTCGGATGTTCACGACCAAATATTGTGATCTTCCTTAAAACCTAATTCCTCTCCCTAAGATCACCCTCACTGTCGTCAAAAAGACTGTCATTTTTTCCATTGTGCCTCACTGTTTGCATAAAAACAACAAGAGCAGCAGTTCATCACAGAGACTGTTCACATCTGCTTCGCTGGAACTTACACAAGGAACCTTTCGATTGACACTTATGCCGGCTCTTCAGGGCGCAGAGGCCGAACCCCACGCCTGCCGCGCAGCTGGACCTGGACGTGCCCGTACTCCTTGAGACTTTGAGGTTCCCAACGCGTCTTAAGGTTCCTCCTTGCCATCTTTCAGAAAAGCAACCTTCGTTCCTTCCCTGGAAAGACTGCCATGAACCACACGACAAAACAAGGTACCAGGCCGTTTCTTCAGTGGGGTTTCATTAGCTTCGAAAGTCAATCTCAGTTCTGCGAGGCTTTCTGGTCACGACCAGAGCCAGGCGCGCCTTCTCCGGCATCACGTTCCAGGCAGAGTCTTGGCTATTAAAACCATAGTCTGAAACTGGTCTTATTGGTTTCATGCAAAGTAAGTGTTATGTCATTATTCCTTAAGAATGCCAAAATGTGGAGGGATCAGGTAGGGAGAAAAATACAAAGAAAAAAGGAAAATCCTGCTCCTTTCAATATCCACTGAAATTGCATTTTTATGTTTTATAGCTTTCATTTTACTTCCTAATCTAATATTAAACTTTAACCCTTAGGAACATCAATTTCTTTTTAAAACACACATAAAACCTAAAGCAAAGACAGTCTCAAAATAAAAGGCGGGGTCGGGGAAGAGACTAGAACCAGCCTTAGGACTTTGCCTCGCCCCATTGGGTACAAAGACCACCTCTGCAGAGCCCAAATGGCACAGGGCCCCAATGGCAGAGATGGACACAGAACAGCAGAGTTCCCCACGCCCCCGAAAGATCAGAAATGAATTAAAACAAAACCTAAGGCAAAGAGTAACTGAACCCAAGCACCAAAGTTCCTTTCCTTTCAGAAAAACTTCACACCTTTTTATGGAGTAGACAAGGTTCACAAACCTTTCTCAGCTTTCTATACACAGCTTTCTGCACCTTCTGCAACCTCCATAGACCTTCTCAACCACTTAGGAATAACCGTAACTCACTTTCAATCCTTGTCCTTTTTTACAGCGCAAAGGACCACATTCAAACTCAGTATCTGGGAGCTCCAAGCCCCGCAAACTGCAAACACATTCTCCTCCATAAACTTACTTAACCTTTTTTTTTTTTTTTTTTTTTGGCCACACCAACATTTAAACTTGTTTACAATTTGAAAATAATATAGGAACCACCCATAAATATGAGAAAACATGCTTCCACTTCTCAAGTTCAAGTGAAGAAGTGGATGAATTATAAGTGCTATTAAGGAACTAACATAAATATGTCACTACATAAACACTTATACATAAGGCCTTTGGAAACTCCCAGTGTTTAACTACTTGAGACACAGGCTCTTCGGCCCCATGCCCCGCTAATAGAGCCTGGAGTACTTCTCGTGGAACGCCTCGCCCCAGACCGCTCCCACGCCGCTCTTCCCGTAGGCACGCGTTGTGGCTGCGGCGGCCTGGGCGGTCGGCTCCCTGACGATTGTAACGGGCCCGGAGGGCAAGCCACGGACCCCGTACGAGGCTACAGGGTGCTGCTGGGATGGAGAGAAATCCCGCGACAGGGAACTGGCGGAGGATTCCATCTGAGTCATCTTCCGAGACCGCTCTTCTTCCCACTCCTCGATTTCCCGTTCAAATTTCCGGTTGTCTTCCTGAACGTAGTGCTGAAGTTCAGCAGATAAGACTTCCAAGTCTCCCGGCATTGGCTCTGGTCCACCTTCACCCGCCTCCGCGTCGAAGAGCGATAGCTTATCCTTAATGTACATCAGACAGTAAGCGCTAGCATTTTTCAAGCCTCCGTAGGAATCGCTTTCAAGTTCTTCCCAGGAAGACTCAGTAACAGAGATGTCATTGTACTTCAGCCAGACTTGCCTGGGTTGATTATAGATATAGACCCAGTAGTGCCCAGCGTTTGCTTGTCCCTCGTGAACAAGAACTGCGTGCAAGCGATAAGGCACTTGACTGAGGAGAGGATCACAATACATCTGCTTAATGCTCTGGATAGTGCTTGCAATAGAATTCTTTAAATCCTCTATATCTCGTTCAATCTCACTGCTCCGTCTCTGGAGACGGGTCTTAACAAAGTTTATCTCATCCGTGGCTGTTTGGGGAGCTGGGGTAGCAGGCATTTCCCCTGAAGGCCAGGAAGACGTCAGTGGCTTCTTCTCGGGGGGAGACTTGGACAGAGAATCTTCAGAGAAGATACCTGCAATATCCAGAGAGCTTTCTTTACTTGTCGCTGAAGAAAGTGGCAATGTCACATTTGTGTCACTTTGCGATGTCACGTCCACGAGCGGAAACGGAGCCGGGCTCAGGTCGTACTTCACGCAGCTCTCCAGTCTCTGCTGCAGGACTCGCACTTCCTCCTTCAGCTGCCGAATGCGCTCTCTCTTACTCTGAACGAGGTCTTTGTTTCTGTGCATGTACCTGTCCATGTAAATGACCTGAGGAAACTCCAGTTTATTGTGAATTTTTTCTGGCTGACCGAGAGACTGATTGAACTCAAACCTCGAGAGTTCAAAAGTCAACACTGGAGGGAGTTTTGTGAACCAACGCTCCTGTCCATACTTCACGGGATGACTGGAAGGAAGGAGCTCAATGTCAGTCTCTACCATGGCCCCTTCCAAACACTCGTCCAAGTTGCAATAGCCGTTCACTTGAAGAGGATACTGGCCGAAGGTCTCGCTGTTAGAAAAGGGCTTTCCTTCGCGAACCCCTTCGGTGAGGACAGTACCGTAGAATAACTGCACCATTGGGTTTTTGGAGTTGTCCCTGGGACCGCTGTCGGCTTGCACGGTGAGCTGGAACGCGTCCTCCAGCCAGTCCAGAAGCTTGTGGGTGAACTCGCTCACGTCCTGCTGCTGCTCCTCGGTTGACTGGAAGGCTCCCTTCAGGAGATTCAGGGCCGCCGAAGGGTCAACAAATCTGCGGTTTGACCCCATCATCAGAGCAAACAGACGCTGAAGCTCTTGCATAAACATGATGTTTCTCTTTTCTTTGTGACTTGGACAATTTTCAAATGCATCCTGGGGCAGGCTATAACCGAGGACGAGTCTTCGAAGTTCCGGCAACTGGAAGAGAGACTGAATAACAGCACTAAACCAGCAGGTATTGCCAACGTTTTTCAGTCCAACTGGCCAGCCGTCAACTCGCCTCCAATCATTGGGGTTGAAATTCTCTCCCCAGACTTCACAGTGTTTCCTTTTAGAGCGTTTACTTTCAGCAGAGATTGCCTCATGCCTTCTAAGAGTCCTTCCACCGGCCTGAACTTTGGGGGACTTCAGCAGACTCAAGGCAATGGCAGCCTGAACCTCCTCTTTGCTCTCAGGAGTAAAACCTATTACTTTTGCTAACGCTCTTCTGTTGACAGCGCTCTCCCTTACTTCAGGCGGTTCTGTGACACCAGTGCCTAGACTAGGCTCCTTTGCTCTGCTACTAGCAAGACTGCCTGCCAGAGGCGCGTCACCGTCCCTAGCCTTCAGACCTCGACGAAGGCAGGAAGAGTCCCGAACGTCCGTGACTTCACTCGGCTGACTTAACATCCTCTGGCAGCTCGCGTCATGGCGATCTGCTGCGGCCACCTCGTCCCGCTGGAGCTCTGCAGACGTGGCGGAGAGCCGCCAGCCCAGCCTCACAGGACACCAGGGGATAGACCTTCTTGTTACCGGTCTCCTATCCCCCGAATTCAGGGCACTGAGACCTTCCTTTATCTTATTACGAAAGGTGGATTTTGAGGCCGCCTGCTTCCTCTGCAACATCAAACGGTTCCCTGCTCCTGTTGACACCTTATTATGCAAGGAAATAAACGCTCTAACGTAAGGGATCTCGTCCCATTTGCCTAATCTCTGGCAATATAAGTTCAACTGCATGATGGTGTAGTAGTTTAAAGAACCATTGAGGGGCCATTTTTCCCCACAGTCCAAAACATACATAGGCCATACACTGTTGCAATAAAAAATCAACTCATCTAAAATCTGACCCAGTGGGCTTCCTCCAAGAGTGGACATCTGACAGTTCCTGACCGCCCGGATGTACAGGCCCATGAGTATGAACGCGACCACACCCCAGGCGAACTGGGAGCATATGAACACGATCAGCATGGGCTCCATCGCTCTAAGCGCGCGCACAGCAACCACTGCTCCGACAGCGACCCGCAAGCAACGCCCTCCCCGAAGCGCGGCCGGTCCTCACTCAGACCCGAGCCGTCTCGCGGGCCTAAAATCTCAAATGGCGCTTCCTCCGTCCCAAGCCCTTTGCTTTCCACCTGCTAAGGGTCAACCTGCCAGGAGAGTCTAGGGTGGCACGCTGGGTACCAGTACTGCCGCCGAACAACCCGCTGGGGTCCTACCGCTCGCTGGCACTGGCAAAACTCTGAAGACAAGAGTTCCTCGGAGTCTGTACGTGAAGGCGTTCAAATCGCTGCGCTCGCGCTGTCCTCTTCTTCTGGACGATGTCCTCCGGCGCGTCTGCGGGCCTGGCTAGGCGGGATCCGGGCGGCACACCTCGGGTTGTCAGTGCAGCTGCGGCTTCCGTGCGGGAGAGGCGCTGGGCTCGTCACCTGGCCACGCAGCTTCTGAAACCGGCACCGACTGGTCTGCGAAACCCCGACTCGCAGGTTGGCGTAGCGGGTCCGAGGCCCTGCCCGGGCTGGAGTGGGCAGAGCGGCCGCGGGGACGGTGGCTGACGATGCCTCGCTGGAGGAGCGCGTAGGTGGCTTCCTATGCCGAGGAGAAACCCCGGGCCGGCCGGTGGGAGTGCTTGGGGACAGTGGCGGGGAATGCTCCCGGACCACGCTGCCCCCAAAACGCCCGCAAGCTCGGGAACCTAGCCCCCAAGAGCCCACAAGTAGCCAAGAGTGGAGAGAGCAATGGGCTGAGCGTTTGCGTGCTCTGCTTTTAAAGATGGCCCCCATAATTCCCTACGGCGGAAGTCGATGGGAAGGCCTGTCCCTCCTATCCAATCACCTCCCTAGCTTTAAGTTTAGCCCTACATGCTTCTGCCGAGTCAGGCGTGCGTACTTCCCGTTGCCGGGACGACACATGCACGCGCAGACCTTGGCGCTTCTTGACCCCTCCCACTTTATGTGTTGGGTGGGAGTGGGGGATGGTGCATCGTGGGAGCTGGGTCTCCCGTCACACTGTGACCCAAACATCTGAGTCGGAAGGAGGCCAGTGAAGTTCTGATATTTTTTTGAATATGGCTACATTGATGCTATGTCCGAAAATTCACCTTATTTTGAAATCATATCATATTCTCATTTCTCTTGGAGTTACAATGATTGTACTTAATTTTCTTTTCATAGACTTGTTTATTAATGATACCATTTTCTAGGTGTAAATGCAGGCGATGGATGCCTTTTAGTAGATCTCCCGGGGATGCTTATCTCTGGTACAATATTAAGGTATCAGAATAAAAGAGAGAAGGGAGAATTTTGGGGCTCCATATCAGCTCAGTCTCAATTTCGGTATGCACGAGGAATCTTCAATTAAATTCCTAGTATTCTCTACTAATGCAAATACATTATACTTAACAAAATTATTTACATTTATAATTCTAAGTTGGGATCCATACATGACAAACATATGTTACCAATTCTAACCTTAAAGTACATGTAGTTCTTTACAACTGATTATGAAACTTACCATGGTTGTAAAAAAGAGTTCAAACGATACATAAAAAAAAATCTCAAGTGAATGGTGGGTGAAGTACAGGAAAAGATACTGTTGCATGAATTATTTACAAATTTAAAAAGAGATTTAATAACCGGGGATGTGTGTCAAGCTGATTTGCTATGTTTGGAACACCCCGTACGACCAAATACTGATTCTGCCTCTGCCTGGCATCTCACTAAGTCCCTGAAATCCTTTTTTTGTTCCTGGAGCCTGGGGCCTTCAGAAGTGGAGGCCCTGGGTTTATCATTCTTATCAACTTTCTTCAATGTAAGTGGTCCTCCCCGGCCGCTGGGAACGTGGGACAGAGATATCTGCTCAAGGGCTGGAAACCAACGGAAGCACCTGAGTTTACTGCCCCCTAGAGAATGTCCCCGTGCTTGTCGTACACCAGGGCTTGCGCGCAGCAGTGTAACATGATGGTGTCCTTCACCTTAAGGTTCTGCTGCAGACGCAACAAACGAATGAAATCAACACAAGTACCGTTCCCTATTAAGCAATCAAATAGGAAGTTTTGATACTGGTGCCCAGTGGGGAGATTTCAAATTCAAGTCTTCTGTGTCCTTTCCTTACTCATCACATTAGTTTATACTTTATCAGGCCTTCTCCCCATTTGTCCCACCCTCAAGCAAACGTGTATTGGCTTTTTTTTTTTAATGCATTTACACTGCGAACATACTTTGAAGATTCACGCCTTGCCATATATGGATGTCCTGAGATCTCGCCTTCTTCCCTTAAGTTCTTCACCGAGTTTAAGGTGCAATTTTTAACATTCTGGTATGTGGGAAAAGCCAACCGATTACATGCAGAGTTCTATTGGTTTCCTTGTTTACTAGTTATTCTATAACTGCTGGTCTGTGGGACCAGTAGCTATAGAATAGCCTGCGCTTAGAAGTACTGGCTTCCTGACATCGGGAGTTTGCTCTGCTCTGTTCTGGTTTCCTCAGCTTTCACCTCAGGAGGAGAGTACTGACCTCTAAGGGTGCTGGGTAAACGAATTCATTCGCTGGAAGCGGGTAAAAATGTGCCTAACACAGGAAAAGCTTAGGGTCGACCTTCCTCTCGAGCACTTCCCTCCCTGTTCCTCCCTGGCAACAACTGCTGCAGGGAAGTCTGGGCCCGGGGCTACTCCCTCGCCAGCTGTGTTTGGAAACACAGGCATCAGAGCCTCTGGTAGCATTAACATTTGTATAAAACTGTTCCTTGAATGTCAGGGACCGATCTAGGCTAGGATCATTAAATGGTTAATTCGCACAAGAATAGGAAGACACCACTAATCTACCCCCAATTTACAGATGACAAAACCGAATACCAGAGGTTAGAAATTGACCCCCGTCTCACAATCCGTAAAAGGGTAGGCGGTCCAATTCGGGTTTATTCAGGCCGTGTTCCGAGCTCACCAGGGAATCTCCGCCCCTTTCACCGCCCAGTGAAGCTTCAGAAGGTGAGCTTAGAATGCTGACGAGAGCCAGGAGCCTAATGCCCTCCGGGGATAGGGCGGGGAGGTTACAGTCCCGCCCCGGAAGTTCGCCTTTCGGGACATCAATCATCTGTAGGGCGGTCTAAGTTTAGCGACCGCAATCCCGCTTGGCCGCTGCCAGGTCAGGTGACTGTATGGAACGAGTGCACCACCTGCTTACGCGAACATGCCAACTCAGCGTTTTCTAGAGGCAACCTCACTTCTTTCCTAAATCTCTGAAGTGTATTTTTACCTAACCATAGCTGGGGGCGGGGGACGGGGCAGTTAGCTTACCTTTCTATACCTTTCTCCCTGAAATCTAAAGTGTAATAAGCTCTTTTTCTGAGAGAGGGAGGGGCTCTGAAAAGAGCCTTTGGGTTTTAAAGCGTTTGCGGAAACTTCGGTGTCTGTCACATCATTTGCCCTTGGCCTTGTGGTGGCTCTCGGTCTTCTTGGGCAGCAGCACGGCCTGGATGTTGGGCAGGACGCCGCCCTGCGCGATGGTCACCTTGCCCAGCAGCTTGTTGAGCTCCTCGTCGTTGCGGATGGCCAGCTGCAGGTGGCGCGGGATGATGCGCGTCTTCTTGTTGTCGCGGGCCGCGTTGCCCGCCAGCTCCAGGATCTCGGCCGTCAGGTACTCCAGCACGGCCGCCAGGTACACGGGCGCGCCGGCCCCGACGCGCTCGGCGTAGTTGCCCTTGCGCAGCAGGCGGTGCACGCGCCCCACCGGGAACTGCAACCCGGCCCTCGAGGAGCGGGACTTGGCCTTGGCGCGCGCCTTGCCGCCCTGCTTCCCGCGCCCTGACATTGGAAACAAAGGAAGGCCGCTGTTAAAAAAAAAAAAAAAACAGTAGTCACTCACCAAAACAGATGATTTGTGTGAGTAGAAGTAATATGGCTGCTTTTATAGGCAGTTCCTGGGAGCAAATAGGGCTGTTTGATTGGTAAAAAGCAAACTCAGCCAAGTAGCCAATAGAAAGGCTTTATTTCCATACCTTATTTACATGGGCCAGCCCATGAATGACAGACTTGGTGTTTGTCTTCCAATAAACTGAAAGGTACTCTGTATCCCTCATTAGCATAAAGGCCCTATAAATACCAGAGATCGGCCGCAGTTTCTTTTTATTTCTGGTGTGTTCACTTTTTAGGATGCCTGAGCCCGCCAAGTCCGCGCCTGCCCCAAAGAAGGGCTCCAAGAAGGCGGTGACCAAGGCGCAGAAGAAGGACGGCAAGAAGCGCAAGCGCAGCCGCAAGGAGAGCTACTCGGTGTACGTGTACAAGGTGCTGAAGCAGGTGCACCCGGACACGGGCATCTCGTCCAAGGCCATGGGCATCATGAACTCGTTCGTCAACGACATCTTCGAGCGCATCGCGGGCGAGGCGTCGCGCCTGGCGCACTACAACAAGCGCTCGACCATCACGTCGCGGGAGATCCAGACGGCCGTGCGCCTGCTGCTGCCCGGCGAGCTGGCCAAGCACGCCGTGTCCGAGGGCACCAAGGCCGTCACCAAGTACACCAGCTCCAAGTAGACTCGCAAGTAAGCGGCCTGACTCCTAACCCCAAAGGCTCTTTTCAGAGCCACCCACATGTCCTCAAAGAGCTGTAATCAGAAACTCAAAACTGGATGTGGGGCCCGTTGTTGACTCTTGATTAGATAAAAAGACTACAGGGATAAAGTGCAAAAGGACTGATTTCAATATGTTCAAAGGTAGAACATGTTTTGAGCTTGTGGTGGTGTGCTGTTCTGTTAGAAACAAGGGATTGTAAAGAAACGAAATGTGTTGAAAAGCACTTTACATAAAACGATCTTAATTTAAAAATATCCTGTGATTTTCCAAAATTGCACCAGCCTTTGACCCCCGGGGCAATGAAAAGGCTCGTAGGGCATTTGAAGGGTCTCCCCCGGAACGCGGCTGCGCGGCTGCGTCCGCCGGGAAGAGGGGCAGCGGCGGCCCCAGTAGGGCGGCCGCGCAAGGGCAGGGCTCTAAGCTCTCTGGATTGTGTTAAATCCAGACAGTATCGATCGTCTCCAAGATTTATCATTCACTAACAGCTCCATATTACCGTTCCTTGAGGTTCTTTAAGGTTAGGAAAAAGAAAGTGTTGTTGCAAATAGGACTGTTGGGTCCAAAAAAAACCCCCAAAAACACGGAGGGGGGTGCTTGCAACGCAGGGATAAAAACCCAAGTTTCTAAACGTTACTGAGTTCACTGTAAAGGGTAGAGCCCTCGACTGTCCCGCAGCCTGGGGAAGAGAGCGGGTTTCGCTGATGCTCTGCGAGGCCGCTCCTGCGAGACCTCTGACCTCGACTACGTGTCCGCTTCTGTAGTGGCCGCGCTCTCCCTCGGTCTTTCTTGCCTGTTTTAAATTTTGTTCCAGATTCACAGTTTGCTCCTCTAACTCTCCCGGTTGAGAATGTTTCTTGTCTTCATGAACGCAAATTATTTTTGAGCAAATTGTTTACCTCATTAGGAAATTAATAAACTCAACGTGAAGTTTAATTTAAAATGGCTTGTATACAGACTAAAAATATCATTTTAAAACAGCAAAATCAAAGAATCAGAATTTTGATGCTTTAAATGTAAGTTTTTAAATTGTAACAGAAAAGAAGTTCAGCTGTGCTTTTTATCGGTAGTTTTAGTTAACAGGTAGTATATTAAAAGTTAATGGGTTAATAAGAAACAAAACGAACCACTCCACTATTTTGAACCATTTAAATTTTTAATTTATGGTATATAATTTTTTAGGGGAAGGTCACATTTCTAACCAAGATAACTTTTTGGACAAATTCATTGGCTCAATTTTGCTTTAAAAATAGGTCTATGACTTTTTACATATTATTGCCTTAAGGGAAAATAAAATTAGCATGGTATTTTATTTTACACAAGTCTAGAATTTATTTTCTTAAAAAAAAAATACTAATTAAGTTGAATTTCCTAAATTTCTCCCTCTAGGTTTTCAGGCTGTATGAGGTATTGTCACTTTTAAAACCTTTTTGCAATTGCAAATTAGACATTGAACTACATAAAATCTTAATAAATGATGTCATTAAATGCAGTAGATTTTTATGTCACAAATCACTAGGATTCAATGTGTCAGCTCAGATACTGAATTCACAAAGGATAGGTAATTTTAAGAATTTAGATGAATATTAAACGGAGCATATTCGTGCCTAATCTTCGGGAACCTGAGCAGTTTCTGCTTTGGAGGGTGCGACATATGTATGCATCGATATAACAAATTTGATTTATGCAAGTCTCATTGTTTTACACAGATTAGAAGGACCGTAAATTAACAGGTTAGAGAACATATAGATGCATTAGGGGAATGGAAATAGATACGTGTTTTTGCCGCTTTCAGTTTGTAAAGGGGACATGTCAGGTGCTGAGGGGGGCCAGCGGACCTCGTCAGCAAGACTGCCTCCCAGAGCCTTGTGCCTGCAAGGGGACTGGCTGCCTTCGCACGGCCGTCCAATGCTCTACCAAGCACTACAGCTCCAGAGAACACAGAATTCACACGCGGGAATGGCTATGCTTAGTCTGTTTATTAGGAAGTTACTGTCTGTTAATGTAGAGAATAATGTAGACTTTAGAAATGGATTTATCATTGGATGAATTCATCATTATGTTTATCTAAGGTTTACTGGAGTTGGTTAAAAAACGAACACAAAACACTACCGGGAAGAGAAAAAAAATCCAGTATCCAAATGAAACTTCCAGTGTAGTGTTGTGCCTTTGCCAGGCTTCAAATCATTCTTAAATAACACTCTCTTAAACCACAGTCAGTCGAACTAATCTTTGAAGCCTATTCTTCTAATTAAGAAAAGCCAGTTCAACACGTGGAGACAAAAGGATCAAACATTTCTTTGTGATGGTCCTCCTGACTTCTTTGCCGTCTTCCTCTCTGTAATACACAGAGAGTAAATGGAACAGAGACCAAAACCCCAGACGGCCAAGCCCTTCAGGAGCCCACAGCGGAGGTGCGGGGGTACCCGAAAAGGCCCCGGCGGGGCTGGCCAAGGAGGAGGTGCGGACGGCGGGGCACCTGGAGGCACGCTGTCACGGGTGCTCCCCAACCAGTCATGAAAGTTTCTAGAGAAACGCTGTTTTCTTTGAAACGTCTTGCTCTCTGCGAGAACTGATTGCCCCTATGAAGCTTTTTCCTCCCGAAAATCGTGTGCAGCCGTGACACGCTGCTCCCGGGCAGACTGCCGGCAGTTTTCTCCTCACTTTGCTACGTGAATTATCTTTTTGACTTGGTTGGATGAAATCAATCTGTTGCTTACACAGTATACAAGCGCTAAAAATTAGCTGAATGTCTTTGACCTCCTTTGACGACGCTACCACTCTGCGCGGGCAGGGTGGTAATAAGGGCCTGCTCGCGAAGGTGGAGTGAGGAGTGAATGAAACAGCAGATACGAAACACGTACCAGAAAGGGTGTCATGTTGCTAAAATGGCCGCACCACATTGTTCCGTGCTGAGGGAAGTGTCGCCTCTGGAAGGGGCCCTTAACATTTTCCAAATGCCTGACACATAGTTTGCAGGGATCCTGCCCCGCCCACTGTCTGTGGCCTGTCTTGTTCCTGTTGCCCCTGTTCTGCAGCCAGACTCGCCCACACCCAGCTTTTGCTGGTTTCCTGCCTCCCACGCGGCCTGGAGCGCTGCCTTCGCCTCCTTCCCCTCCCCCGCCTCGCAGACTCTTCCCGGTTGGGCAGGCATCCGCTTGGCGCACGCCCTCCCCGGAGACCGGCCCCTCCCGGTGGCTCTGTGTATCGGGACGCTTGCAGTGGATGGTCCTTCCTTGTCTAGATGTCACCCCAACACGCTCAGAGCTCTGCCTTGGTCGCCACCTTATCCGCAGAGGCTGTTCCTGAGCCTGGTGCTCACTAAGTGCACACCCATAACTGAAGTGATGAACTCATTCAATACGTGCTTTGAATGTCTACTATGTATCAAGCCCCTTAAGCACACAGCAGTGAACAAAAGCACAAATTTCCCCCCTGAGAGCTAGGACTCCAGCAGAATAAGATGTAAAAACATGCGAAGTAAGTTACACATCTGGTCTGTTAGAAGGTGAGTGCCAAGGAGAAAACAGAACAAAACAGAACAAACGCAGGGCAAGGGAGAGGGTGTGGGAGGGAGCCAACGAGTGAAGTGCTGGCCACGGAGGGGCCCGACGGAGCCAGCTTCTGCCATGGAAACTTCGACAGTTATTTGTCCACATAAGACCAGGGTTGTCTTTGCTCATTTTTCAGCAGGAGGAAAAATACATTTTGTACCACTCCCAGAAGTAGACTAAGCCTTTATTTGGGTGCATTTCAATCATATTTCCATTTGACTGACTTAAAAAAGGGGAGGGCTGCCCACGTCTGCCAGAGGGACGAGCTCCTGAGGGGAGGGGGCTTTGGGGAACTGTTGCAGCTGCTCCAGGTGTGAGCAATGGCCGTGAACTCTTCAGTCTGCTGTCCTGCAAGGCCCTTGCTCTTCCCTCACAAGCTTCCCCCAAGCCCTCACCTGTTACTATGTCTCCTCAGTGAAAAGCCCTAACTAGTTTTCCACCTGGCAAATTCCTACATGGCCTCCAAAGGAAAGTTACAGGGCCCTGAGTAGATTACGTTCGTCCTTTACTTAAGACTACAACAGACAAATTCTGGGGGTGGGGGCCATCCATCCACCACGTGTGTCCCCTGGGAAACTCCATGTCTTCACCTCTAAATCGGAGGCTGTGGAATGCACTGGTGTCAACAAAGTGCTTAGACCAGCAGCTGGCACTGAGCAAACCGCGATGAACACTAGCCAGCATCGTTAGCGCGGCTGCTGTCAGAGCTGAGTGCGATGTCAGGTATCTGATGAATTACGGAAGTGAATTAATCAATTTCTCTCTTTTTTCAGGAAGAACAAACAAACTTTGGGCATGTCTCTTCCCAACACTGATCACTGCTGGACACTGTGGCGACTCAGAACCCAAGAAAATAAGAGATACTAGAAGATAAAGACATTTTTTACAATTGTGGGAGGATCACTAAGAACCGGGCTAAGACATCTTTTTTTTTTTTTTTCTTGAATATAAAAATATTAAATGTTCACTGTTGAAATTTATGAAATGAGAAATATATACAGCAAATGTAGGTATCATGCCACATATACGTACAGATAATTTTCTAGGCCACATGCTTAGAGACACAATCTTTATAGATGTACAGCTCCTTGTGTAATTAGTCCTCTGTTATTGGCTGTTTAGATTACGTTTCACCTTTATGCATTATAGATCCTACACCTCACACATCTTTGTACAGAAATTTTTGTTTAAATATTTGATTCTTTTGGGGCAGACAGACTGCTGGAAATACAAATACTCTATCACAAGGGGAAATCAGTGTTAAGGCCCTCAACACACATTGCCAAATTTTCATCCAGAAGCACCACGTCAACTTCTCATACCAACATAGTATGGAAATTTCTGTGTTACAGCACTCAAATTTACACAGAACTTTGTTTTTTAAAGCACTGTTAACTGGATAGGCTGGCAAAGCTGTTTCTGGGAAGTTTTTATTTCTTTCATCATTACCATAGGTAATTCTCCCCTGCCCATGTTTTTATTGGCCATGACCCCGTAAGAAATAACCTACTGGAAAAAAAATGGACAAGACTGTAATCATTGCATGGGGAGGCAGTATAGAAAAAAATAAGTAGGATCTTAGATTAAGATTAAAAAAAAACAACACCACTAATATTTCTCAGGTGCCTCCTGCCCCGTACTCTGCTGGAGTAAACTGGCTGTTTTCAACTGAAACTTTTTTTACCTACATTGTTTCTCACAAGGCTCCTAAATTCCCCCTTACAAAGGTTGTCTTGGTGATAGGAACTGCAATACACAAACTCCTTAAAGACCTCCCATGTCTGCCAAGTTTCTCAGGGAGGCTTTTCGGGGGTCTCCACACGATGGGTCCCATAGGATTTTCTTCAGCTGACCCCTGGGCTCTGACCCCACTGCACTGTTTCCTGGGCGGTATCCGGGAGACCCCGCCTTGGGGCGCAAACTCACATCCTTACCTTGGACTAAGATGAGTTCCGGGCCAAGTCAGGAGGCCGCCCGGCCCACAGCTCCGCAGAGGCACGTTTCAGCCCAGCCCTGGGTCTGCGCTCGGGGTGGGCGGTTCCCGCGGAGCTCTTCAGCCCAGGGCTGCCGCCTTGCATTTCGCCCTTAATTGAAGGCAGGAACTGTATCTCCTTCTCTGTGACTTGTATTTGGAGTCCGGGCGAAGGGCAGGGAAGGGGTCGGGGTCAGGCTTGGCGCCACTGAAAGCAGCAGCACCGCTCAGGGGAGGGCACCCGCCGTGCCGGCCACCGGACTGGAGCCGAGGCGTCAGGCCTGGGGACCGCGCTCTCACTCCATCGCGCTGCAGGGACTAGGGGGCGGGGGATTGGTACAAGCAGCCCACACACTGTGTAGATTATGGTTTATTAGGTTGTTTACCCAAATAAGATCCTAGCTTACAGGTTTGAGATGATTCTGTAACGGAACAACCAATAGGGTGTTACTACCACTTGCCTCCACAGGCAAAACCTCTGGAGGCAGAATTCGGTGGAAAGGGGGAGGAATCTTTTATTCAAAGGCTAGGGTTTGAAATAGTGGCAAGTTTCTGCCACAAAGCCTGCTGACATCCACAGAAAACCTCCCTGCCAACCTCCGCCAGCTCAGTCCAAGGCTGTGCCCGGCACCTCTTCTCCAACCCGAAATGACTGCCCTTTAAGAAATGCAGGTGGTTTGGCGGGTTTCCGGCAGCTGCCTGGCTTCAGGCGTCTTTCCGAGTCCACGCATCCAGGCGGCCTGCTCGCAGCGCGCTGCTCTCTTGCTCCGGTCGCTGCCTCCGGGGCGTCTGTGTGCCCAGCGCAACTCCTGCGGCCAGCGCCGCGCAGCCTCCGCGTGGGGGAGGCTTGCGACTCCCAAGGCCCACGGGCCTGGGCTCCTGCCCCTCGTGCCCTACTGGCCCAGCGCCCGCTGTGCCCTGGCCAGGCAGTCCGGGGCCCCCTTTGCGGAGGGGCACCCGGAACCTTTCTGAACCACGCGGCTTCGAGGGTGTGAGGGCCCAGGGAGTCGGGCCCTGTCGGCTGACACACAGGGGAGAACAGTTAGAGCAACGACTGCCCGCTCTCCCCATACACAGACCGGACCAAAATCTTCTGCACGGGGGAAGCACATCGGAGGGTATTTCTCTTACTCACCTGCGCAGCCCGGTTGCCCGGGCAACTGCTCCTGCGCAGTCCTCAGCACTTCCCAGCCCCGCCCCTATGTGGGTGTCGCTCCTGCGGTCCCGGCTGAGCTCTGCCCAGCGATTGGGCTGGACCCCCACCCTGCTACAATGCTATAATCCTCTAATTCCGCACTGAGACATTTCAGGCTTCTGTGTTACTTTTCTTATCTATTACATAATTGTCCATAAAAGTCAGGGTATGACTTGTTTTTCCCACCCATCGGCCGACAGCCGTTTGGAAGACCACTGAGAATAGGTGAGAAAAGTATCATGCTGAAAATGACTTTCAAATCCACAAAGAAAAGAGGAAACTTTGTTCTCCTTGAATTTTGCTGAAAGTCGAGGACGTTATCGAATAGTTTCCGCGTGCGGGGTCATTTTTGATTAAAAAGTGAGAAGGCGTATGAAACTCAGGTCTCCACGGACCGCCCCGCAGTGGCTCCGGGTAGCTCCGTGCAGGCGATTTGTTGTGGGATTCAACTTTTGTGGGGGAAACAAACACAAATGGTCCTCCCCGAGGGGCGTGGCTGTGTCTAGGTGATGCACCAATCAGAGCGCACCCTGCCCTATATAAGGCGTGCGGGGCCTGCGAACTCCACGCTCCCATTGGTTCTCAACTTTCGTGGTCTGTCTTGTGATGTCCGAGACTGCACCCTTGGACCAGGTTGAACCTGGCCCAGCTTTCATGGGGAAGCCTACAGTCAAGAAGCGAGGGAGGAAACAGAAGGACGTGGCGGGTGTGAATCGCAAGACTCCAAATCTGTCCGTGTCCAAGCTTATCACTGAGGCTTTGTTGGTTTCGCCGCAGCGAACCAGTATGTCGTTGGTCGCGCTCAAGAAGACACTGGCGGCCGCGGGCTATGACGTGAACAAGAATAACAGCCGTATCAAAGTGGTGCTCAAGAGCCTGGTGCGGAAGGGAACCCTGGTGCAGACGAAGGGCAGCGGCGCCTCTGGTTCCTTTAAGCTCAGCAAGAAGGCAGCTGCCCAGCTCACCAACGTCAAGTCCAAGAGGACCGCTTCCACTAAGTCCAAGAAACTGGCCTTGTCCAGGGAGTCCAAGACTCCGAAGAACACCAAGAGCAATAAGACAGCCCAGAAGCCAAGAGCGACAGCAGCTCAGAAAGCTGCCCGGGGCGTCTGGAAGGCTGCCGGCGCCAAGGGCAAACCCCCGCGTAAGAGCCCGGCCAAGGCCCGGGCGGGCAAGCCGCGCGCCGGGAGGGCGCCGTTGACACAGCAGAGGGCCAATCCTAGGAAGGGAGCACCTAAGAAGTAAAAGGTCGATATTGAAAAAACCAACCCAAAGGCTCTTTTAAGAGCCACCGAAGTAACAGTAAAATGGCGTAACACTGCTGCTCTGGAAGCGTCACGCTGCAGGTCAACCTTCCTTGACAACAAGCAAAGTTGTGGTGAGGCGAAATACAGCGTTTCGTCACGGTGTTCTTGCCGAGTCCCAAAATGCTGGGTTGTACACCGTTTAGATGAGCACGTGTGCCCTGTGTGAACTAGAACTTTCCAGGGGCAGCGCGCGGTACCCAGGGCTGCAGGCCGGCTCGGCTGGCGTTCGCACTGTGCTGGGACAGGTGCGGGTTCCGTTCTGCACTTTCCTGAGCTGTTGGCCTAACAAGCACGTTGTAGCCCGTGCCCACAGGCTTTGTAGGGCTCAGAGGGAGAAGTCGAGGTGTCCACATCATAGGGATTTTTCTTTATCTCTTTAACTGAAGCTTAACTACATTGAGAATAACAAACCACTGAAAATGAAGTTTTCGATTGTCACGAAAGCAATGCTATTCTCATTCCCAAAGTACTGTAACAGTTAAGCACTTACATTGTCATAGTTAAAAAATTTGGTTTGATAATATGGCTTTAATACAATTGTAATTCCGTGTATTTTGTTTTCGAAGACACGGTCTCACAGGCAGAGAAATGTAAACCTGAAGCTTCTGTGGAAATGCTGGCGTCTGCGCAGTGGGCAGGGGCTGAGTCAAGCGTTTGCAGGAGGAAAGCTGGTCGTATTGGAAAGCGCTCGTGATGTGCGTTAACGCGCTTCCCGTTTTAGAGAAAATCGGTTCATTTCAGTTTTCACATAACTTGTGATTTAGCATTCTCACTTAAAGGCCACCGGAAGTATTAATTTCATGCTGTTAATCTTGTTTTCGGCCTTGGCAGTTTCGTGCAAAACGATGTAGTGCACTCTGAATTCGAGCATCTTCTACGGGTGGCTCATTAGGACCTAAACTTTCAGAACTCGTTTATACAGTTGAGTATCTGAGAAAAAGTTACATGGTATCCTATGTGGAAAATGGCTGAGCATGCCCACTTCAATTTCTAGGGAAGCAATGCTGTCCAGTTTCCCTTGAGGCGGGAATGTTTCTGCATCAGATACAGGCGTCGCTTGCCGGGCAGGCGGTGGATGGACCTCGGACCTGGAGACCTTCCAGTCACAGAGGAAAAGGTTGAGCATCTGGCCTCATCCAGCGCAGCGGCCGCCGCCCTCCCAGCATTGCTCGGAGCCTTTAGACCTGCTTCCGCGCCCCTGGGCACGTGTGCGCTCCCAGCCCTTTAGCACCTGGTGCACATCAAGATAAAAAGTTTATTCCTCCAGTTCAGGGGACTGCGACTAGCCCTCTCTTGTAGCCAACATGGCCTGGAATCCCGCCCTCCGCGATTTCACATAATTTTCCACACCGCACCCCGCATTGGCCTCTGGGAGCTTGTCCCCTGGAGGCCTCGTTCACACAGCCACGGTGCGTCCAGGCCACAGGGGTAGACCTTTGCGCCACCCGCGCTGCCCAGCATCCCGCTGAGTCCAAAGGACCTTGCTCGCGGTGCCTTCAAAATGTACAGGCTACACGCATTTCTCTTAAGGAGCCCATTGATTTATTGCCATAATTTGCTCACGCTTGCTTTTACACTCCTTTTACAACGCATCTACTTCTTCTGCTTTGTAAAGAAACAATTTAACACCTTAGTCTTGCAAGGTGCCATGAATGAATTATAGAATCACACTGCAAAATTATTCATCTCCCTTTCTCCAAGCTCATGTGAACTGCTGGTCCTAATTACCAACATTTTGGCAACTGCTGACAGCCCTTCATGCGATTTTTGTGGGCGGCCCTGAAAAGGGCCTCCGGTTTTGTCATAGAGGGAGTTCGTGGGTTCACTCTGAGGACATACTTAAACAAAACTTTTGTAACCCTATTATAGTGTTTGGTCCTTAAATAAAGTTGACAGCAAGCACAGGTGAAAACAGGAAAACGAGGTGGGAGTTAGGGAAATGGGGCTGCTGAAGTACTAGAGACCCGTTTCCGCCTGAGGGTGCTTGCCCTTCACAAACGCAAAAGCCTTGGGGGCTCAGAGGAAGTTAGAGACTCGGGTTGGAACACGAGTCGCCCCACCCCGCCCCGCCCGCGGCCCAAGGTAATGGCGTCGGGCTCAGGGAGGGGCCCCTCCTGGGAAGGGAGATCTGCTAGGCCGTTTGTTACATTTTAACACGAACCGTGTTTGGGGCTGACGGTCCGCAGCCCTAAGACTGGAATGGGGACAGTGAGTCCAAAGTGTGCAGACCTTTCCTGACACAGCTCTGGCGATGACGACTTCTAACCGACCTGGCTTTAGCTGCGCCGCAGGCTGCACCCTGGCAGGCTCGCGGGTTGGAGAAATACTTATTGCAGCCATTGGTGTAAGACCTAGCTCGGAGGACTTTAGAAGCTCCACGTTACAAAAGGCTGCTCCTCGCAAGGAGGACCAGAAGTCGATTATTTGATGAGATTCAAAACGCAGGGGCAATCCTTGCCAAAAAAAGAAAAAAAAACCCTCTCGCATTTAAAGAAATTGGAACTGGCGCGAATGCCTTCAGTTTGCTTCCTCCAGCCAGTCACCCCCACGCCCCAGCGCGCAGACGGAGACCTGTCGTGAGGCCGCCACCCACCATCCGTCCCTCAAAAGGTTAGGACCCCGCTAGCAGCAAACACCGAACAGCGTTTGTAAGGACGATCTGAACATGACAATAGCACACAGCTCTTCTCAGGAGAGAGTGGGCGGCCCTGAAAAGGGCCTTTGGGGAGGAAATGAGGATTGTGGAAAGGCACTCAGCCGCCAAAGCCGTAGAGAGTGCGGCCCTGGCGCTTGAGCGCGTAGACCACGTCCATGGCCGTGACCGTCTTGCGCTTGGCGTGCTCCGTGTAAGTGACGGCGTCCCGGATCACGTTCTCCAGGAAGACCTTGAGCACCCCGCGCGTCTCCTCGTAGATGAGCCCGGAGATGCGCTTCACGCCGCCGCGCCGCGCCAGGCGCCGGATGGCGGGCTTAGTGATGCCCTGGATGTTGTCGCGCAGCACCTTGCGGTGGCGCTTAGCGCCTCCCTTCCCAAGGCCTTTGCCACCTTTGCCACGACCAGACATGATTGCAGTGTCAGTGGGTGCTCAGTCTTGATACACTCCTTTAAATAGGATGTTGGCGGACCTGATTGAAAACATCCGCCCTGTTTTTTTTCTAAATTACTTCTTCCCAGGGGTGGAGCAAAGGGAGGATATTAACATTTCCACATTTTGATTGGCCAATGAACCTCGCGTCGTTGGGACTGGAAGGAGTGGGGAAGATATCACTGCAATGAAATGCTAATTTCTCGTCTCACCTTGCCCCTGTTCCGTGCTAACTTGTAAATTCCATGTCTGTGTCTGCTCTAAGACGCGGAACAAAGCGTTCCACTCATTTATTTGCACTTAGTAACTGATGTCATGTTATGGTTTCTTGGGGAACGTGGAAATTGTAAAGGAGCGTGGATTTGTAAGTCAAGGGACTTTCCCTTTCAGTCCTTTTAATATTCCTATTTAAAAGGTCGCATTTAGGCCGCCTTCCCTTAGCGGGAGAAAGTATAAACCTGGCTCTGAGCAGCTCAGGCCCTAAAAGTCCTGTGTTTGGAAAGACCAGAACGTAGAACAAGAATTGCACACTAAAACTGTTTCTTTTTCTCGTTTATCTTCAACCAAACACCTCTTGGCTGACTCCTTTTTATGCAAAATGTGCGAGTCCGCGAGCACAGTGCTGAACTTGCACCTGCGGAGGTTCTGGCCGCGCGGCAGGTCTACCTGCAGGTCCTCACAGGCCCGCCGCTTCCCTCTTTTGTTAATCCCGGTCGACCTTCTCGGTTTTCCACACAAGAACAAATGTTTCTTGAGGATTCCTTGTAGGGTGGGGCTAATAATAAAGGGCATGCAAAGCCCTCAGGGCCTTCCCCTGAGAGGCCTTTGATGAGATTAGGTGTTTTAAATAAAACTAAGCCCAGTTAAAAAAAAAAAAAAAAAGGCAGAACAGAGCAGAATTGGATGAATGTAGTTTTCAGAGGGACTTCTTATACATAAAAATGGTTTCCTTGCCTTCCTGCTGCAATTTTTGAAAATTTCACCTGTAACAGGCACTCCTCTTTAAAGAAAAAAGAAAAAAAGAAGCACCTGTCTCCATCCTGGTTAATAATTAAATAAACACCAACCTTGGAAACTGCAGGAGATAGGCCTCAGAATGACCACAGTTTTATATGCTCAGACTTAGGTAAAAAGGGGGAGGAGCAGAAAAGCTTTCGGGGAGGGAAGAAAGCTCTGAAGGACACTTGGTTTGTGTCACTTTAGAAAAAGGTCGACCGGGGGCTGCAGCTTGGAGGCTCCGTTTTGACTGCTCCCTCCCTGCCAAGGGCTCTGTAACCGCAGCACCAGCGGACCCCGCCCCGCCTGTTTGAAGGGCTACTCAGTTGCTCTGGAGACCACAGGCCAAGGTCACAAGACACGCTGCCGAGACCGGCCCTGACAAGAGAGATTTGACCTGCAGCGGAACCCGGAAAAAGGAACCCAAGAAGTTGGGACACGATGGAAACTTAAACAGGGATCTTTTTCAGAAGCCAAGGGGCACCGTCCAAGGCTCTTAGCGTCGTCAACATAAGAAACATTCAAAGCTGTAGAGAATGGTTGGTGGGTTTATTGGAGCCGAACTGGCGACAGTTGCAGGGAAGCCACACCCCAGCGGATCGCGAGAGGCCCCGGGGACTGGCGAGGAGGGGCCGCAGGGCTGACAGAGGCCCCTTGGGGACGGACGGGGGGCAGGAGGAAGGGGGGGCTCTGGGGCGGGGTCAAAAGGAAAATGACAGACACACTTTTACACAGGTGGGTAAGGGACAGCTAACAGTCACCAATTAGCACGATAACAACAACAACGAGGGGGGTTGTGGCCTCAGCTTGTGCCCAGGGCTTTGGGAGAAGAGGGACGTTACCCTGACCTTCCAAAGGCCCGTTATAGATGCAAAAATAGGACAGACAGGCTCTTTCAGGTCAAGGCCGTCCTTTGCCAGGAAAGAGTAGTGGCCTAGGGCGTGACTACCCCCCCCAAACTGCCTTTAGCTAAGATTTAATTTTCGACTGCCCTTTGCAGTTACCCGAGCTTGCAAGTCGGCCTCGCAAGCCTCCCCTGAGCTGATGGGGCGGACGTGTGGCCTCTTTCCACCCGCACCGTAGGTGCCTAGGTCCTCTGATTAAAATCTGCCCACCAGGCTTTCCAATACCTGTTCCCCCTGGACCCTTAGAACCCCTTATCCAGTGAGCCAAGTGGACGTGACGCCCACACGTCTCCCGTCCCCCCTGCTGGGGACGGCCCGATCAACAAACCCTTTCCCTCACTGCACACCCTGACGTTTCACGTGTTGGCCTTCTGAAGACTTGGGCACATGGACTCAGGAACAATGAGACTTGGCCCGGAAGAAATGTCAAGGATTAGAGAGAAAAAGTGCAAGGTCAGAGGTCACAGGTAAAACTGAAATTTCCACAATGTACTTCAATGCATAAAAATACAAGTAGAATGTGTACACTGTGGTTCCCTTTCTTCTATTCCCTCCTAATTGCCCCGTTTCTAAATTTTTCTCATGGACATTGACTTGGTGATCACGAACGTCAGAAGGGAAATATTTTAAAGGTACACGCATGTAGATTTCTGTGACACCGGATCTGTGAGCCGTGTGTAGAGCACGGGTGTTAATTTGTCGTGGGGCGCGGGGAAGGGCGGCTTGCGCTAGGTCACGCGCGGCTACTTGTCTTCCGTCCTTTTCAGCCTCCCCGCCCCCGCCCTTCTTCCCGCCTGGGGGCCCTCCCCACAGAAACTCTGAGAGCGAGTTGTGGCCGCTGGACACATGAAATATCAAACAAATAAAACCACGATGTTCACCAGATGTCTTATAAAATATGAAGCGCCCAGAACTACCCTCCACGGACTAACTTGATCGGAATATCATTTTAAATTATAGTCGTTATTGGATTGCGGTAGGGGTGGGGGTGGGGCTTGGCTCATAAGAACCTTCTGGCATTTTGAAGAAGGCGTCTTGATTTAGAGTGTGTGCGTGTGAAGGGAGGCCTCGAGTGCACACTGCACTGTAACACTGCGTCGTCGTCGTCATCATCATCATCATCACCGTGTGACAGACTGAGAATTTTTGCCTCGACCTCTCCCAACTGCTCAGAGATGGTCCGTTTGGTTTTCCTCCTGTGCTGGGACCGCAGCGCTCCGCACGCCTGGCGAGGAGCTTCCTCCTGGTTCCTCGGGCACCGAGGCTTTGTCCTCCCCCCGCGACGCCCTCCCGGGCCCTCGCCCCGCCCCCCAGCTACACGACCAGTGCGGCGCCGTGGCCACCAGGTGGCGCCCTTCCCCGTGCTGCCGCGCCTCCTAGGTCCCTACACCAGAGGTGAAGATACAAAGTTGAAAATGTAGGGGTTTTTTTTTTCAAATACAGTTGGGCTGAAATGATGAACACGACCAGAAAACTGAACCTAAGAAATACTGAAGGGCAATGGAGATTTCTAACTTCGTTTATTAAAAAAATGAAAATCAATGGGTCAAAGTGGCAGATGTTTAATAAGTACGTTACTGGGAACACTGGGCTGTTTCCTGAAATCTCCGCCTGTGTGAAATAAAACTGATAGAGAACAAACTTGCCTAATTAATTGCAACATCCCCTTAATTGGGTAAAAGAACCCGAAAAACTTCGCGCTGGCCTTGAGGACAGGATATGTACGTAATGAGGGACACTTGGGCCGTGAGCTTCCAGCGTGACTTGGAGGGAACGCGTTTCCCCTGGGGGTGCCCTACTCAGGGCGGAGAGGGCCGTCAGTGCCCAGCTCCACTTGCTGGCAGCAAGCAAAGGAGGTGGGTCCACATCCAAGGTCGTCTCCCCGGGGGAGGCTCAGCCACGGCGCACGCGTGCTCTTTGGTAACTCACACATTCATTTCCCGTTGGCAGTCAGGCCACACTCACCTGCCCGTGTCCTGAGATCACCTTGTTTCAGCGCCATCCTCAAAAATCAGTGCGACGTTTAACAGCAAGAAAAGCAGTTGGTAAGAGTTGTCCAGACTAGTAAGCAAGGTGCTACAGCTCAGATGATACTGCTGTAACAGTGAGAGAGAACACTGAACTCACCTATCGTAGCTGAATGAAAATATTCCATGAAGCGAAATGTAACATTTTTAGATGCATTGTAAATGACCCCCAAATGACATGCGGTGGACAAACGCATTGGGAAAATCACGCCGTGCACCACACAATCCGTCATGCATTTATTCAAATATATGCATTTGATGCTTTCACATGTTTTAGTACCGTGATACAGTACTTAGAATTTATCCCTGCTAATGGAATGATAGCTTCAATTTACTTCATTTTCAATTTCTCTAAAGTAGGCTTATATTACACGCACCTTTATCCACGTAACTTCTGCAACCCGGAAAAAAAATTTTTAAATAAGTGAAATCTTTGTGCCCAAGCTAAGCACCCAGCAGCAAGCTTCTGAGCAACGTGTGGGCTCCAAGGCAGCTGCCCTCGGACACGGACCCCTGGGCCCACAGCTTCGCGGCCACGCGTGGCAGCGGCGTGAGGACAGCCCGCGGCCACCGGGCCGTTTGCACCCGGACTCCTGGCAGAGCCGGGCGCGTCACTGAGCCAGCATCTACCCATTTCTGATGGGCTGCTTAGACGAAGTTTGTTGCATGCGTACCGTTGGGGATAAGAACCAGACTCCCAGGAACCCCAGGGAGATGCCGGGTGTCTTCCAGGCCACTCGGTGGCTTCGTTCTACCACGTGCAACGTGACAGAGGTTGCTCTGGCTCGTGGACGGAAACACCACCAGGAGCCGGGCTCCGGAGGCCCTGCCGTAGGGAGGGCACCGTGAGGTGCGGCACAGCCACCGGCTGCCACCTGCGGCCACAGCCCGGCCAGGGCCCCCCATGGGCCTGGGGAAGGAGGCTCGGCTGGGGCTGTGCCGCTGCCTTCCCGGCTCACGGAGAACACAGACAAGGACACAGGAGAGGAGCGTCCGGTGGCCACGGCTCCCCTTTTCCGTTCACTGCCCTGAGAAGCATCTCGACACAGCGGGCGGGATGGATGGATCAGACCAGCAGAGTCTGAAACCGGCCTCGATCCCCGGGCAAGCGGTGCCCGACTGTCTTCAGTAAAGAAAAGGAAGATAATAGCTCCCGTGTCACAGGGTTACTGCAAGGGCCACATGAGGAAATGCAGGTACGTGGGTGCTCCGAACCGAGTCTCTTTCCAAGCGAGCGCCTTTTTGGTGAGCGTAGCCATAGTGCGGTCACCGCCATTCTTGTGATCCGCACAAAGGGAGAGGGTCAGCAGAGACCACAGGGAACATCACTGCGCCGCTTCGAGCCTGGCAACGCGCAGAGGCTTTGTGCTGCAGGTGTCATCGTGGGGGAAACCCAGGTGACACCTCCGTGCCCGTGAGGACAGAGGCGCCCTCCTCCAGACAGGACACTCCGGCCGGCGTTCTGGGAAACGGCCGTAAGGCGCACACACAGCCACGGCGCCGCTTCTGAAGAGGTGCCTGCGCGCCTTCCGCGTGGCCTCATCGCGACCCACCGCTCTCTGACGGAAGCGGCCGCGGGGCCGCGGGGGCGCGGACGGCGAGCCAGGGGAACGCGGGGCAGAGAGGACTGCGCGGGAACTCGAACGGGCCCAGGGGCGCCTGGATGTGCGTGCGGTAGCGACAAGAGAATGCACATCCCGGAGAGGCTCCTAGCTCTTCTCGCACGTGCAAGACTCGTGAGTCCCGGAAATTTCAGGAGCCCCGTGGCAGAGGTAGGAGACGAGCCGACGCAGCTGCGAGGAGCCTGAGGACGCGCAGGACGCCAAGGCAGGCGCAGGGTCAGCCGGGACTCGCACGGCCCGGTCAGGCGCGGCCCCGTGGGCGCTGCTGGCAGGCAGAAAGTCAGAACCGTAAACGCGGAGGGCAGGGCGAGGGGCAGGGAGTCCGTGGGCCAGCTCCTATCCGTTGGGTGCACCTCTGTCCTCAAACACCGCGCACTTCGCCAGCGCCCGAGCCTTGGCCTGTCTCCTTCCCCGCGGGGGCTGTGGGCTTCCTTCACTGGCAGTCGGCGAGGACGTAGTCCCCTAAGGCTGCTCCTGCCAAGACAAGGCGTCGCGGGCTGGGCACCGGCTGTCTCGCTGCCGTCCGCCGCCGCCGCCGGCTCACCTCGCCTCTGACCGCTGCCTTCCCAAGCAACTACATTTCAGGCACCATTCTCTCTCCCCTGGACTTGCTTTCCCGCCTTCTGAGCGGCCTCCTGGCTTCGCGTCTCACCTTCTAAGCACTCAGGCCCTGCACCTCGGCCCTGCGCCCCTGCGCTTCTGTCCCCACACTGCGCCCAGTGCTCGGGACGCGGCGTCCCGCAGGCCCCCAGGCCCTCTCGGGGGCGGGTCCCCTGCCGCTCTCTCCCCGACAGCACAGGTGTCCAGGGGTAGACAGGCAGGACAGGGACACGGAGTGATACTCAGCTCTCGCCTCCCACGGCCCCAGGGCACCGCTCTCCGTGGGTCTGTCCCCTTGTCCTCGCTTCTCCTGCGGGAACCCTGCTGCTTCGACACCCAGGGCCCTTCTGGACCCCGAGGGAGCGAGGCTGTTCCTCCCTGTGACACCTGAGCACTGGCTTCGTGGCCGCGTTTGGACCGGAGTCCCTTTCCCCACCTGGACGGCGCCACCGATTTCGTGCTGCACCGAACCGACTCCTGAGAATTCAACCGCGGCCCCCAGAGCCCCAGCCCCGCCCCGCCCGCCCGCGCCTCACCGGGCAGCCGGCACTCGAGGGGGGGCGTCTGCGGGGCCAGGAGCTTTCATTCTGAGGGAACCTGGCGGCTCCTGCTCCCGCGGAGGGGTCCGAGCTCCCACAGAGAGAGGGAAGGCGCGCCTCCCCTCGGGCCGCCCGCTGCCCACTCCCTGCGGGACCGAGAGCGTCCTGGGCAGAGGACCTGACGCCTCCTCCCTCCTCCTACTCACGGGAAGCCTGCCTTTTCCGTAGGACTCTGAACAGAATTCCAGTGACGACGACAATGACGCCGATGGCAACCCCGCTGATGACTCCAATGACCAGAGGCCCAGGCATCGCGGGCTCTGAAACAGCAAAGTGGACGCGCGTGACCCTCCCGCCACGGGCCCGCTCCGTCCCCCCACAGGTGCGGTGAGCCGCGGCCCGGCCGTACCCCAGGTGGCAGCGAGGGGCTGCTCCAGGCCTGGGTGCTCCGCCTGGCAGGTGTACCTCCGCTCCTCCCCTGGGGACACCGGCACGGCCGCCCGGCCCTGGTAGGTCCCGTCCCCGTTGGGCAGCACGTCCGCCTCCACGTCCTGGGCGCCCAGTGGCTGCCCGTCCTTCAGCCACCTCACGGTGATGTTGCGGGAGTGGAAGTTCAGAGCCCGACACTGAAGAGTGGTCACGGCGGAGGCCACGTGACGAGTCACCGTCACCGATGGCGGCCCTGGGCGGAAAGGAAGGAGAATCTGGAGGGGGTCCTCCCCCTCGCCAGGAGACCAGGGCTCCCACTTCCCCTCCTCCACAGCAGGAGGAAGGAGGCGCCTGTTTGTGCGCTAAAAGCAGTCCAAGGCTCTGCCCTGGCCGGGTGTCACGTGCAGAACGGCCACAGCCGCATCGGCCTGTGGTGCTGTCCTGTCTGCCATACGCACACCTGTCGGCGTGTCCTCTGCTCTTTGTTAGCATCTCATGTGGGATCGGAGCAGAGCACCCTTCCTGCGCCCTGACAACGATCGTGCTCGGCCGCGGCCTCCCCTGCGCAGCCTGGGGCGTGGCCCTGGGAGAAGGGGCCCCGCAGGACCCGGAGCTCTGGGGACAGGCCCCCACCTGCTGCCATCTGACCGGCCGCCTCCCTCTGCAGTCTCTTGCCTTGGTGTTCCCGTGAAAGCAGGCCTCGCCTACCCTTAAAAGGCACACACGCAGGCGGGGGTCTTGGTTAAATCGGGACCAGTTACATGTTTGGCCACGCGCATGGAGAAAACAAATTAAAGCTCTGTCTGGCTCAGGGCCCGCGACTCAGGTCTCCTTCACAGGTGGAGACCTGGGGGCGGGAACCTCAGACCTCGGCTCCGCCCAGAGTCGCACAGCCTTTGCCACCAGAAACTCCAGGGCGGGCTGCGCCCACCCCTCTGCGCAGGACCTCAGCGCACCACACGTACCTCGCCGGCCCAGGAGCCCCGCCCCCAGAGCCAGCAGCCGCTGCAGCTGCTCCGGGCAGTCCCTCTCCAGGAAGGCCCTGTTCTGCCGGGCCCGGATCTTGCTCACTTCCCACTCCAGCTTGGTGCCCCGGGCCTCCGGCACCGCTGCCGTCCAGGTCAGCGTCTCGGGGCAGAACTCAAGGTGGTCCTCCCCGTCGTAGCCATATTTCCAGAAGCCCCTGGTGCTGTTGTCCTCAAGCACCCAGCAGCCCAGGGTCACCTGCAGGGTGTGGGACTCTGGTGGCACCCCCACCTTCGTGGCTGAAACCAAAGGAGCAGGGCGCTGTCTCTACCGTGTGCAGGAACGGAGAGACCTCAGGAAGCAAACTCCTTCCCGACCCCCTGCCCCTCAGGACCTCAAGTGCCAGCCCCCCGGCACGTACCCTTGCTGTGGTTGAGGTTGTCCATGATGGTCCAGAAGTCGACCGTGAACATGTGGTCCCAGCCTTTCAGACTCTGACTCAGCAGCAGCCACAGCGGCCCAGCGGCCTGACCCCAGGCCCATGGGGCTCGGGGCTCTGCTCGGCGACTCTCGTGGTCGTAGGACACGAAGAGCTGGTCGTCCACGTAGCCCAAGGCCTCAAACAGGGGCAGCCCCAGGTCCGGCTCGGAGGCGCCCATGAAAAGGTAGCGCAGGGCGTGGGGCCCTGGGGGCGGCAACGGGCGTCTGTGGGCCCAGGGCGGGCAGGCGGCCGCCCGCTTCTCCGGCATCGGCTCCTGCCCCCACCCGCCTGGGCCCCGCCCGCCTGGGCCCGGCCCGGCAGAGATGAGCGCCTCTCCTCCCTGTGACTGTCCCGTCTGCTCCCTTGTGTGCCTGCCCTCTGCCCGGCGTGGCTGCCACCCTGGGCTGCCCCGCACTCACCCATGAGGACAGACCGCCCTGGGGCCAGCAGGCCAACAGCTCTAGGAAGCCCCGTGGTGACCGCCCCCCGCCCCGCCCCCCAGCCGGGGCACAGAGCTCAGCTCCGAGCTCAGGGATCGGCACTCAGAGCCGATCAGAGGTAAGGCCAGGAGGTCTGCTGCTGGGTTTCAGCACTTCAAGCTCTAAACCTCTCGGGTGCAGGCCTGCTGTCGCGGGCTGTGGGACGCGCTGACAGTTTAGGGCAGCTCTTCGGCCTCATCACCCTCCCAAAGCGACTGAAGGACAGGCCTCTCCTCGGGCAGGTTTGCCGGCATCACCCCTCAGCGGCAAAGGGAGGGCGTGCGGGGCTGGGACAGCGCCTGGAGGGGGCCCGCCCCGGCGCAGGGCTCCCCGCAGGCTGCCCGGGGACCCGCCCGAGTGCTGGCCTCCGCCCTGTGCTCCCAGCTCTTCCCCCCCGGGGTGGGTGGCTGGAACTGCAAGCTGAAGTCCAAACCACCAATTTCCCCAAACTACTCTCCTCTGCCCGTCACCACCTCAGAAACCACATCTCCAGAATCAGACTGTAGCTCAGGCCAAGCAGTCACCTTTGACTCTTTGTCACACCATGCGTAGGTCCTTCAGGAGCTTCCTTCCACACGTACAGACACAGGCCCGAGCAGAGCAGCAACGACAGGCCGTTACTGACTGTCACCCGGGCAGAGAGTCCTGGGTGCCTAGCAACGGGGCAAACCCAGAGGAAGCAAATGGACCTGACCGCCAGGGCAACCCCCCACCCGCACGCCAGGTCCTTAGGCGTGCGGTTTGGACCCCCGAGAGGGGCCGGGGGTAGCCTCGTAGAAGCCCCACAGCCTTTGCAGGGCCACGGCATTAAGCATTAGCCCTCGGGACAATGAGGCTCCGATCTCCTTAGGAAGAAGCCTCGGGTTTGCTGAGGTTCGGCCAAGCTAGAGATGATGCCTAGGCCTCGGCTCTGTTCCAGCTCCAGGCCCGGAAAAGCAGCGAAAGCAGGCAAAATGATACGTGGCTGAGGTCAGGACCAGCTGAGGCGCCTAATGACCCCTACTCTGGTGCCAGCCCTGAGTAGAGACAAGGACCCTGGTGGATATTCTATTGAGATCCTCCCCTGCAACCTCCCCTAAAACCCCCACTTTGGGGAACAGGCAAGAACACTTAAGGGGAAGGACCCAGCACAGCTGCGCTCCTCTTGATAAGGGCAAGATGACTTAAGAGGAGCAGCCTAGCCAGAGACCCCTCCCAGGGTAACTGTGAATCATTGCTTATCCGTTCCTGTAGCCCGTTTTCACGTCCCTTCCCCCGCCCGGGTAGCACATCAATCTATCAATCTCCCACCGGAATGCTAATCCCTTCCCCCGCCCGGGTAGCCCATCCGTTTCCCGCGGGAATGCTAGGGCTTATAAACCCCCGTCTAACCCCGATTCGGGGCTCAGAATTTGGAGACTGCCTCCTCTGAGCCGCGCGTGTGAATAAAGGCTTGCTCCGTCCCCTGAATCGCGTCTTGAGCCTGGCTTTCCGTGACACTCTCATCTCCCCCCCCCCCCCCCCCCCGCGCCCCTGACTTCCTAGGGCCCTTCCTTTCCTGCTGTCACTTGTTTCCTGAGTCCGTGTAGCCCAGCTGCCTCACTTCTGCCTCTCTGACGTTCTAAATACCATATTTTGCTGTGCACAGTGCACTCCGGTGGAGAATGTGCACCCACGGTTTTGGCCCAAACTTTTAGGAAAACAATCTTTCATTTTAATTTTTTAATTCCATATTTTACTTATTTGTATTTAGAAAGAAAACCGATTATCGTATTCCACGGTATTATTTTGCATACGGACATCGTTATGTTTTCTAGAGGTACACTTTCAACACCGAAGCATAAGTGAAAGAATTAAGAGCACTAATATAGATACAGAATTAGTACTATGCACATATAATGTGCATCCTTATTTTTCCCTCAAAAATTGGGGCAAAAAAGTACATATTATACCCAGCAAACATGGCAAATTTCTCGTGCCAGAGTTCTTGACTCTGAATTCTTTGTTAACCAAACTCAAGAGCCGAGGCTCAACATTCGCCGCCAACGTTTCCAGAAAACAGCCGTTCTCGCGGCTGGCTGAGCCGCCGTTGCTGGCCTGGCCTGGCGCCCAACTCCGCAGCCCTCACGGCCGCTCCTCTCATCCCCGCGTCCCGCAGAGCGGCCTCCAAAAGCCGCGCGGGGCCCTGCCGCGCCTCGGCTGGGGTGCACTCAGCAGCGGGAGGCGCGGGGACCTGCCGGGCCCGGGCGGAGCCGTGGCGTGGCAGCGCTCACTGCGCCCCGCGCTCCTGCCGCGCCGCGCCCTGGCATTCTCCGCCCGTGATTCCTAACTGGGCGGGGCGCCAATCGGCAATGTCGGGGGACGTTCTTGTTGCCACACCCAGCATCCAGTGAGTGGAGGGTAAGGATGCTGATCACATCATACAGTACACACCACGGTCCCCAGAGCAACAAGACGTCTCCGGGGACTGGTCGCGAGCCCTGCTTCAACCTGTCTTGCCAGGTCCCCGCAGCGGATCTGGGAGGCGCTGACCCCAGTCCGCGAGCCCACGCTGACCCCTGCTCCAAGGCCGGCCTTAGAGCAGCCTGTCCTGGCCGCCGGACTTCACCCGTGCTCCCCGGGAGCACCGACCTGAGCGCCAGGTCCTCTTGTTTGTTTGCTTGTCGTCACCCCCACCTGCACTGGAGCGCACGGTGTCAGGGGCAGGGACGGGGCTCCCTGCTGTCCCCCTGGGTCCCGCAGAGCCCCACAGCTGGTTGTCCCCCACTGTGCGCAATGAACCCTTCGCTCAACATCAATGCTACACGATTGAGCCTCGGATGCACGGCGACGTTGAACCCCAGCAGCCATGACCTGGGGGACCGGGCTCGGCCTCCGAAGCCCAGGGCCACACGGAACAGAATCGCCAGTGGGCAAGCAGGCCCCCTTGCCATCGGTCAGAGCGGACACACGGCCACCTGTCCTTTCAAGGCTGTGACAGCCTGGAACCCAGAGCCAGCGCCCAAGGGTCGGCCCCCGTCAGCCCTCATTGGAAACAGCAGCGGTACTCAGCACCAGAAAGCCAGATCGGCTGAAGTCTCGGTCACCTGGGGAAAGCCATTTAAGCAAAATCTCCGCATGAACAGCGCCTTCCTCCCAAATGCAAAGTGGAGTCAACAGCTCCGAGACAAGAAGGTCTGAAAACTGAGGTCGTTACTTCAGGGGTAACAGTCCTGTCTTTGGCGTCCTTAGTAAAGGCCCCTGGATTAGGCAGCGCCGCTACCCGTGCGATCCAACCACCCCGGCTGAAAACCAGAACTTGGCCTTCCCTTCCAAAATAACAGAAAGTTTCGTCTTCAGGCAGAGCTCTTGCCAAGAATCAGCAGGGCCCCCCCGCAGACCCTCTCAGCGGCGACACCCAGGTCGCCCCAGTGTGGGACTCAGGTCCCGCCGGCCGGTCCCCGCCCCCCGCCCCCGCGCGCTGCTCCCCAGCCAGGACGTCCCCCGTGTGCACAGGCCGAGGGGCGCTCTGGCCGCAGTGGCGCCCTATGGGGACCTCCGCGGACGTAGGTGGGAGGTGACGGAGAGACAGGAAACCTGAGACCCAAATCTAGGGACCCGCCAACCGAGACCAGCCTCTAGGAGGGAAGCAAAGACTGACCCTTGGAAGCGTCAGGTCCGGAAGGGAGCGGTGGTCCGAGCGCCGCTCCGCAGAGCGGGGACGGCGAGTGGGGTCCAGGCACTGGGCTAGAGGCCGCGTTACCCACCCGCGCACCATGGCCGGGCCCTCCAAGAAGGTTGGGGAGGGTGCTGCGCTCGGCTGGCGCCTCCCCCCAAGCCCGGCACACCCTGCCGGCTGGTGACAGCCGGTTTCGCGTCCCCCGACCCCCGCGTCCCCGCCCGTACTCACGAGCCCGGCCCTGCGCGGCTGTGGTCCACACGCCAAGCGCCCCGAGCAGCAGGAGCAGCGCGCGCCCGGCTCGCGGGCCCATCCCCGGCAGCCGCGGGACTCGGGGTGCCCCGAACTAAACTTCCTGGCCTCTGCGATCCTTTTCCGGCCACTGGTGGGAAGAAGTGCGGCTCCTGCACGTGGACTGTCCTTCCTGCCGCCGAGCCCTGCGTGCGAAAGAACCAGGGACGTGACTGCCGCCCGGGGCTTCACCCCCCACCCCCCGGGGGGACTGACCCAGGGAAGGACGGCTAAGGGCTTCCTGATCTAAATATTTAAATACTGAATAATTTAAAAACTCAGTTACACGTTGCCAAAACTTTTAAGTTCCATATGGCTGTGTTGGTATCTGAGTTAGAATCATTAGATTTCATGGAATTAATGGAATCACAATGCTGAACTCAAGGGGTTTGCTGTTTTGGGATGTCCTATTTAAGAACCAGACATGGCTGTCAGTCGGTAGCTTTCTTTCCTTGCATCAAGGGAAGAAGAGGAGGGTTCACACCCAAAGCTCTGTGTCCCAGAAGGGAGGCTCAGGCACGGATTATATGCACTATTGGGGCAATCACTCCTTGATTTATTCTTTACAGTTACCTCGTTGGGTTCCAGTCAAGCTCATTCCTTACAGCTGAGTCTGCAACATACTGCGCTCCATTTGCAGACTTAGCAAGAATAGCATTTAGTAAGGACCCCCAGACACCGAGGCCCCCCTGTCTTATCTAGCAAGAAGATGAGCCAATTAGGTCCTATGGAAACATCTTTCACAATTCACGTCCGTTTTCTAAATTTCACAGACTTCACAGCAAACTGGAATCACCTGGAGAATCGTTAAACTTCTCAGACGCCCTGCTCTTGCGCTCAGACTGCGTTCGTGGGAGGGGGTGCCGCCCGGGCCTCTGGAGTGTAAAAGTCTCCCCCGCCCCCCGCAACACACACAACCAAGTTCAGGAAACGCTGCCTTAGACATTCCAAACGTTGCATAGTATCAAATGCAACGCATCTGATCTTCCTAAAACCGTTAAAGACCTGATAGACCCATTAAGCAATGCTTATGGCATGTATGGAAATCTTGGCCAAGGGAAAAAGCCAAACTTGGAAATCAGGGCCTCTTAACTGTAAAGGGATAGGAAGCAGGATTGGGCATATGCAGAATGTCGGTGATGAGTACATTGGAGTTGCTTTTCCTGTTCCTACCGCCTCGGTAACAGCTGCAATACTGAGACATAACATACGTACCGTTCCATCCCTCCACGGCCAGTGCAAAACTCAGGGCGTTTGAGCCTGTTCACAACTGTCAGCCGAGCCAGCTTTTGGGACCTTTTTCATTCCTTCCCCCGAGAAGCCCGTACCTTCAGTCCTCACTATTGCCGCCTCCTCCCAAACCCCGCGCCCGGACCCGGCCAGTCACAGAGCCACTTCCCGTCCCTCTAGCTTCGCGGACTCTGTACCTGTCATTTACACTTGGCCCTTGAACGACAGCTGTACGAACGGCCCAGGTCAACTTACATGCGTGTCTTTCATTCACTCGACTGCAGTTCAAACCCACGTTGTTGGGAGGGGAAGGAGGGCAGAGTTTTCATTGTTTTTTTTATTATATATTTGAAGAGGGAGACAGGGCACCTGGAGGAGGAGCAAGCAACGGCCCCCTGGTGAACGATCACAGCTGCAGGGTCGCGGGGGTACCTGGCGCGGGCCGGGGCCCAGGCGGGTCCTGCAGGAGGGCCTGGCTCCATGGGATGCTCTCCAGACATTGCAGTTCACCTCACTGCAGACGAGCGTTTCCCCAGCGACGTTCAGTGGGAGCTTGGCGGTCGCTGCGGGCACGGCCGGGTGTGGCCAGGGGTTCCGAAGACGCGCACGCGCTCTCACAGTCTGACAGGTGCGCGTGCTGGGTGCCTAGAAACCACGGGCTCGCCCACGCCGGGGGCGGGGGCAGGGTGAAGCTGAAGGCATGCTGGCAGCTGAATTTCTTAACCCCAGATTCTCAAACTGTCAGCCCCAGGGCCGCAGAGTCGCTCGGACCCTGGCAAACTCAAATTTCCAGGGAGATCTCAAACCTCCTGAAACGCAGAAGGAGGAGTGGGGTGTACTCATCGGTTGTAAGAGCACCCCCGCCCCCCCCTGCCCCCCGTGCTCGGGTGCACGGTCAAGTCTGGGGAGCCCTGGTGACGGCTTCCTGCCTGATCCGCGGGGCCTGGGGGCTGCGCAGAACAGTCCGCGTCCATCCCTGCCCGCCCTTGTCCACCTGAGAGTCGCTTCTTCGGCACGTCAGGGGCTTGCTCTTTGCAGCTGCAGCTCAAACTACATCTCGACAAGAGTTCCAGCAACTTTACAAAAATGTGTCACTTTCCTGTTTGCCAAAGGACCTTCCGCACACCGCTCGTTGTAGCAGTTGACTCACAAAGTCCATCCGTGTTTATGAGGGGAAACAATGGAAACCAGATAAACAAAAAGAAGGAAATAAAAACCACCTGCAACTTCACTGTCCAGAGAGAAAACCCTGTCTTTGTACCACTGTGTTTCCTAGTAGTTGCTTTTCACAGAGAGCGCTCGGGCAAGGAGGTTGTCCCTACGGCCTGCTGTAAGTATTTAGGTGCAGAGTGAATAAAGAAATGAATGAATGAGTGAATGAATGATCCAGGTTCGATTGTGAAGCCGACTGCAAACCCCCCTGAAGACCTCATGGCTCCCTGAGTCCCCAGAGCTCCTGGGTCAGGGAACGTTAGAGAAGTTCTCTTGTATCTGTAAGCCGCAGGAGCAGCTGGGCAAGGGATGAAGGTCCCCAAGCCTCTGGGCCTCTCGACAAGGCCATTTCTCGGTGCAAATGTTTTCTGAGTCCAAAGTCCTGCTTGCTTTGCTCCTGGCCTTTCCCGGCACCGTGGCCTCGCTCCTGCCTCCCTGAACCTCCGCCGGCCCGTCTGTTAAATGAGGGCAGTGGTTTCCGACCCGCACATGATCTGTACGTGAGTGACCTCTGACCACGGACTGTTAACAGATACACGGGAAGCAGATGAGGGCGGACGGAAGGGTCCAGGGCCGTCCAGCCTGTGGGCGTCTCTGGGCCACACTGGACGAGGAAGAGCTGTCTCTGTCTATGCATGAAATACACTGTGACACGTAATCACACAGAAATCTCATCGTGTTTCAAGGAAACCTACAATTTTGCGTGGGGCCACATTCTCAGCCACCCTGGGCTACCCGTGGCCCGTGGGCTGCGGGCTGGCCCTGCCGCGGGCAGCGACACACTTTGGGGCACCTGCCCTCAGGCCCACACGCCGCAGTGCGAGCGTCCGGTTCCGGCCGCAGAGCGGGAGGCCGGAGCGTCACCTGCTTTTGTAAAGTGTTACAATTCCTCTTCAGCCTTAGGCACTTCAAGGGGAAAATGTCAGTGTTTCACGTCCAGTGAAAAGTGCCTGTACACTCTTTTCATTATGAGAAGAAGAGCAACAGAGTCTGTTCTCACGTTCGCCTTGAGTTTTGGGAAACCGCCGCATTGGGTCGCACGTCTGACGAGTGGGCGTCTGCGAGTCCTACCCAATCTGCAGAGCGAAGTGATATCACAGAGTCGCTGGCTCTCTAAGCCTCAGTTCTCTCATTGGTGAACAGGCGGTAATAACGGCTTCTTCATAAAATGATCCTTAGAATAAAACTATAAAGCCAGAAATGGATCCCTGAATGCACAGGGCCTGAGCTACGATGCAGGCCAGCCACGTTTACTGCCACATGCTGATATAGTCATGCTCACGGTACCAGTGACGTCGCAAGTCGGCGGATGGAGCTCTACCAGTGACGGTTCCGTGTCATCTCACTGGTTGCCGTTGTCAGGGTCACCTCACTATTAACATAATTATAAGAATATAAAGAGAAGACCTGTGCAATCTCTCCCCGTCGCCGGGTTTCTAACGCTTAATGGCTGCTCAGGGTCGAGACACACTGAAGTGCCTTCTCCATGGGACACTCCCTACTCCCATTTCCTTCTGGGGACTCATTTCTGCACGGCAGTTTCAGTCGTGGCCCGTTCTCGCCCGTTCTCTCCCCAGGTTTCCCCCTTTAGCCTAAGTTGCAGGCACCACAGGGTCGGTGTCTGTATTGCTCCGACTCAGCGATTGTTCTGGCGGAGTCCGTGGAGCTGCCGCGGCGAGCTTCCCGTCCACGTAACAATCCATCTCTATAAGGAGTACTTTTCCCAGAGGCCCTGGGAGCCAGCCGCTGTCTGACCACTTTGCGCCCTGATTCCAGGGTCACAGCTTCGTCAGTTTTGAGCAATAATCAGTTCTTTCCCTCCAAAGTCTGTATACAAACGAGCTTTGAAATCTCCTGAGCAATGAAATGTCAACCCGAAGTAAATGATTGATGATGATGACTCAGCTGCGCACCTTGGCATCAGCCCTCCCGCGAAGGGGCCCTTTTACTTTGCTCGCCATCTAGTGGCCATGGGAGCAAACAGCATCCTCCGCTGCGAAGGCCTTCAGGACGCGGGTCTATGAAATTACCTTTTAGCAATTCAGTTAGTTTTGGAAACTTTAAAGGTTAAAAATTAGTTCTTAAAAAATTAAGATCTTCACCTGAAACCTCTTTACAATGACTAGTTAGCAACTGGGTGGTTTTAATTTGATTAAACGACTTACGTTTTGCCCGGTGACGTCACAGTGGGGGCGGGGCTCTCGGGCCGGCCTTCTGTGCACCCGACCCCGAGCGCAGCCGCGTTTGGGGGTTTGGTGTGCGTGTTACAACCAGGGTGCCGGGCTGATCCGAGGCTCATGGCAAAGTCACAACCGCTTTAAATCGTTTAATCCTTATTAGTACAGAGTGTGTATTTTTATTTTTTTATTACATAGTGTTTAACAGGTTTATTATTACGATCATTATCCTCACAGCCCATGTACTTTAACCAGGAACCTCATACAGCCAGTTCCAGCGTTCCTACTTTTGCACAAACATGTTTCTCTTGTCAGCCTTCTTCATACTGTGGCCATGTTACTGTAGAAATGAAGTAATTTCGGATTTTAAAAGTTCTTTTGTAAGACTATGCCTCTGCCTAGA